TTTAGCGGACTGTGATCTGAGGAAAGGTCATCGAGCCGTAGAACTGAGTAATTTAGCGGCCCGAGACCTTTGTGAATGAAGACCTCCGGATGTCCGGATTACGGTTAGGATCGGTTGGCCAGTATGTAGGAGTATCAGGGGAAAGTATGTTGGAATTGTGGGAATTAAGTGCAGACAGCAACGATCGCCCGTGGGAATTCGTGGTTATGGCTCCCCATTGCTGATGTTTGGCGTTAAGGTCTGCACCTATAAGGAAGTGGTGTCCTAGGGAATTAAGAAAGGAAATGAAGTTAGGTTCAGGTATTGCTATTTTAGGTGGAGAGTATGTTGCGACAACTGTAAGAGGGAAAAGTGAAGTTTGGATAGTTATTGCTGAGGTTTGTAGAAAATTGTGAACTGGTAAAGTATACAAGTGATGGGAGAGGGACTGATGGATAATGACAGGAGTGCCAGCATGTGCTGTTCCATCAGGGTGGTCAGTTCGATATATCTTGTAGCCAGGTATGTTGAACCAGTTATGTCTTTTGTTTGTTAGTCGGGTCTCAGTTATTAGGCCTATGTCTATGTTATTGTCCTGTAGAAAAAAGGTTAGTTCGTTGATGTGATTTCGAACACCATTCGCATTCCAAAGGAGAATGGAGAGGGGTTTTATTGAGGACATTTAAGGAATTCTTGGCTATGAAGGGATAAGATTGGCTATGACATTTGTAAGTAAGGTAATGAGCGGTGTGATGAGGGATTTGATTTCGGAGAGGAATGATGTAAGGAGGCTGGTAAGGTCATTGGAATTGTTATTGGGAGCAATGTAGGATATTTGTTGAGGTCTGAACTTTTGGGTGTTATGTTCGGGTGGTGATCCATGAGGTAGTGGTTGAGTTTGCGGCAGGGCCTGAGGTTGAGTATGCTGTTCTAATTCTCCTAACATTTGAGCATAGGAGACTTCTTTGTTTGCAAATCTTGAGGGTTGTCTTGGTGGTCTGGGAGTCCTGGAAGTCTCTTCATGTCTAGGCGCTGTCTATAATCTTGATTTTAAGATTTTATATGTCTGGCATCCTTTGTAATTTGCTGGGTGATCTTTATGGCATAATGCGCACACAGCAGGAGTTTGCCTGGACTTATTGCAATCTTCCGACTTATGTTGCTGCCCGCACTTCACGCATCGCGGTAAGCGGTGGCAATAGCTTTTAGTATGGCCATATGATTGGCAATTATGACATTGTACTATTTACCGTTTTGCACACGGTTTTTCGACAACTATGCTAGTATAGTACAGGCGTCTTAATTTATAGATGTTTTCGACTCCACTGGTGCACTCAAGGTCTACGAAAAATAGTGGTAAGGCTATTTTGTTGTTTGCACCTTGTTGCTCTTTATTATCTCTATATACATTGACAATTTGGCGGACACTGAAACCAAGTTCTGTCAATTCTTCTTTGATTGTCTCAGGTGGAGTTGTTGGATGGAGGCCTCTTATCACCACTCTTAGTGCTCTCTCTTGAAATAATTGATAAGTATGGAATTCCGCCTTTGTATCTGTCAAGTATTTTACTATTTTTCTATATGATTCAGCAGAATCTGGCATCAACTTGGTGTCATTGGTTCGATTTTGACATGTGTATTTACCATTGTTAAGTAATTTATTTAAATGCTGACAAAATAGTGGACAATTTTTTATGTTTCTTATGAATATTGGAGGTGTTTTTGGCTCTCTGGGAGTTGATGGTATTTCCATTGCTTCTTCTACGGTATTAGATAGTAGTAGGTAAGGGTTAACAGTAAAAAAAGGTGATTCTTCAATTTCATTGTTTGTTTCGGTGGTCATAATTTCTGTTGATGTACCGGCTTGAGGGTCGTTCACTGCATCATTTGGTCTATCAGGTGTAGATGGTGGTGTTTTTCTGTTTGAACGCCTAGGCTTTTGATTTACTGGTGAATTACGAGAGCTATTATTGCCTAAGATTCTTGATCTTTTATTCTTGCTAGACATTATCATATGATAATATCGCATATCATGTCAACGACTATTGGGATAAAGAAAAAAGAAGAAGAAAAATAAAAATGATAGAGGGCCAAGCGATATGACCTAGCTTACTTAACAGCTCGACAGGCACTGAGCCTACCTGGCCCTGAGCGGGGGGACTATAGATAAGAAATGGCCACTCTATCTAATTCTATGGTTGTTTACACTATTGTTCAAACTTAATAAACAAGCGGTTACTCACCGTGTTTATGGTTCTATTCAATAATGTACTATGTAATTGTTCAATAGCACTATTTTTTAACACAACTGTTCACTAATTCACTGGTAATTATGATAATTGTGAGAGACGATGTAGCAGGTGGGTTGAAAGATACTAGCGCATGCGCGAATTTGGCAGAATTAGGCTTTTTAGTTATATTTTATTAAAGATCTTTGAAACTGGTGTTTTTATTCTTGCTTAAACTTTAGGAATACATGAGCTATCTATACCAGAAAATAAAAACATAGAAATTTGAATCATCATGACACCTTGAAAATAGGGTTATTGCCGCTCTCAGACCACTGTGCGCCATCCTTATTTCAAAACAAATGAATATGATATATTCCGACATTTGCTGATGAAAATTTTAATTTTTCTAATATGTATGAATTCACCTTTGACATACTTATTTTTAATAGGTTACTGATACGAAGGACTAAATAAGTAGTTAAATAAAATCCATGCTTTCTGAAATAATAGAGTAAAATACAAATGGCCGCCTAAAGCGTTCTCTTCTGCTCCCAAAGCGGCCGATATCGACATTGACAGATTTCCCTCAAGAGGATGGAGGTTTGTTTGAGACTTGAGGTTTTCATCCTCCGGAGCTAAGGAGCAGTCCTACTTAGTTATTAATTGTTCTCCAGGGTCATTTATCAAGTCTCATTTATCCTAGAAGAGATTTCTACTACGCCACCTGCGCGCCGAAGTAAATTATCAACATCATTAAGAGGTTCAAATAAATCGATAGCAACTTAAAAGGATAAACTGTAAAAATATATATATATATATATATATACATATATATATATATATATGTATATATATAAGAAATGAAAATTTAGCCGGAAGATCATTTTAATAGTGGTAGGGAATTAGTAAAAATATTTACTACTCCAACTAATCTTGTTATGTCTTGAAGTTATATGTGTTATATAAATTAGGCCGTTATTCACCAACATTTTATTTATTGGCTATTTTATCCCGACAACGTTTCAACCATCACCAGGGCCATTTTCAAGTTTGGAAAAATTAATGTCATTGTTAGATTACATTTAGGGAGTGGGAAGTGGTAGGGTACTGAGGTTCCAATGTCCAGGTTCGAACCCCTGCTCATGGCAGAAAATTTATTTATCTGTTTCATTGGCCCTGGGGCGACCCCTCCTTAAATATTAATTACACTTAAAATATTAATCAAGGAGGAAAACCTGGCGGTTGAGCTTGATCTCGGTCAAATCACCTCCTTTCACAACCGTAGACCAAGAAACAGTACTTTCCCCTAAATAGTGCTGAACCCAAAACTCTTCATGGGTTGTAGTGGTACAGGTTTTTTTTTTAGATTACATTTATATTTACAAAAAAATTTATTTCACGAAATTCACTAATGTAACGATCCATGTCATACGATATCAATACACATAGATTCCTGGGCGGATCTACGGGAGGGGGGTTCTTTCGGGCTGAAGCCCCCCCAAAATTAAATCTTGAATCTGCTAGTATCTATATAGTATTGAATCTGCTAGTAAATCTATGCTAGTAGCATAGATTTATATACTTTTTTAAAAACCTTCCATGTACGTAATATGTAGTTAATATATACAATTGATCACTACCTTATTGAGTCCTCCATTAAATTTCCATTATTCAGTGTCGTATTAATTTGTTGTTCTAATATTTTAGGGTTTCCCCTACGTCATTTCTGGAGGGAGTGATTTATATCGTCCTGGTGGGGATAGTCAAAGAGAGAGGGGTTTTTCTTCTATTGTTTTGCAATGGTGAATTATTTTATCTAATTTATGATTTTGATATTGCTTTTAGCTTAATTATTATATTATATGCGAATATTGTTAATTACATTTGCGTAAATATATTACAAAATTAAATAAATTAAAAATTGAATATTTAATACTTGACCGTTGCATTATAAAGGAAGGAGATGGTCCGGGGTGGCGGTCATAAATAGGCTGAAAAGTGACAAAACTATTTTATACTTATTTATTTATTTTTGGTTCTCTTTTCTTTCTCCGCATTCCTATATGTCTATTATTTCATATTATATCCTTTTTCCTTCTTTTTCAATCTCTCCCGTAGATCTGTAGAAGTATATTTACATTTGCATATATTATATATTACACTATAACAATTGTTACCATCTATTTACTTCAGTTTAGAATCTTTTACTTAGCTTACTCTGTTTATATTTTAATGTACCTACTGTGTATAATTTTAAAAAGCTTATTCACATTGTTTGTTATTTTTTTTTTCTAAATATTATGTAACTTCCACAATTCTCTATATTTTTTTGTATCTTGTCCGTTCTATCTCTGAAGAAGATCTGCAAAGTCGGGTCGAAACGTTGGATTTTAATAAAATAGTTTTGCCACTGTTTAGCCTGTTTATGACCGCCAGCCCGGACCCTCTTCCTTTGAATTAAAAATTGATTGCATAAAATACAATTAGCAATAGTACAAATATTTACTTGAAAACACTCGTTGATTGATAGTGATGCATTTACAAACATTGCGGAATCTCCGTCGTGTGTCAGTAAAAACACAATACTTGATAAAAGCATTGTATTTTATCTTAATCCAAGTGTTTGTCAACAGGTTCGATTTAACTAATCCCAAGAAGTTGGCAAGGTGTAGGACCACTCGAGATCTCCTGAGGGTGTGTTTATCTCCTTGAGTGTTTACCACAAGCCCTCGCCGTAAAAAAATCGACACCTTCACATCTAAGACTTCCCTTATATATACATATCCAGTTGGAGGCCAGCATGCATTGTGTCGAAGATGAGGTTTCTACTAGGGACTGTTTTGCTTATTGTGCCTTACGCTGTTGTGGGGTTGAATTTAGGAGCATCAGTGGTATGTTATGTTTATTTTTGTTACGTTTTGTAAATAAAATGGAAAAAACTGGATAGTTTAATTTTTTACTAAAGATAAGTCATTGATTTTTTTTTCGTGCTTTCAATTTTACTCAATTTAAATTTAACTAGGCGTACTAAAGATTAAACATAAACGAATCAGTTTAGATTCTATCTCTTGAATGCTAGAAGAGAAACCAACACAAAATAGTAAAGGCACTGACAACTGAGAGGTTTTATTTCCTAGCTAAACCCTAACCATCTATGACCACAGGCTTACCTACGGAGGGATGGGAGAACTTTCGGGCTGAAGCCTCCTCCCCCCGAAAAATGGTAAAATATACCCATATCTTACGAAAAACAATGATCTCTTAAAGTATTATAGTTCGTTAATTATATTTAGTAGGACTTCAAGAATCACTTTAACACCAATTCTTATGGGTAGTTAGTTTTTTCTATTTCTTCCAAAGTAATTTTTGTTATATAAAAAAAAAAAAAAAAGCTTTCGGGCTAAAGCTAAAGCTCCCCAAAATGAATTCGTGGATACGCTAGTGTATTTGACAATATATCAGGAAACACGAAAAAATATATTTTCTATTCGAATTGTAATATCAAATCCAACATTTAAAAATAAATAAATTCTTAATTTATTCCACATATTTCCGAAAATTACTGATTATTCTAAAATCGATTAAAAATTTAAAAAATGTTAATTTTTCGTTTACTATAATGGTCTAATAAAATTAGTTTTCTCTTTAGTAAAACGGTAAAAAAAGTTTTAGATGAATTATTTTTTTTTTAAATACTCAAGAAATGCATGCTTCGCTACCTACTTTGAAAAAAAGGCATATTAAGGAAATTATTTTCACATCACTTTTTTAAATATTTGGGTTTCGTTTTTGAAAAAAAAGAAAAATCTATTATCAGACTCTTTGAGTTTTATTACTTGAGGATCGATGCTCCCAAGAAAAATCGATTAGGATTAGTTTCGAAAGTAAACGACTCAATTCATAGTTACTATTTTAACTACTATTAAGGATAATTATAATATAAAATATAATATACATAAAGTTCAGTGCAAATTCACACATCCAGACATACATCTTTGTATATACGTATATCCTCTTCAATCTCAGTCGGAAATACCTCTCTGAAACATTTTAAGACGTTATAAATAATGTTTAGTGCAGCCATGACATGTGTGTTTTCTACACAAGATAGTGGGACGATAAAACGTCGTAATTCGTAGTTTTACTCAATTTAAATTTATCTAGATCTACTAAAGCTTAAACATAAAAGTTGTAAACATTTAGAAAAAAATTAACTTTTTGTTTACAATAATGGTTCCATAAAATTTATATTATAATTAAACGGTTATAAAAGTTTTTGATAAATTATTTTTCAAAGAATATTTAAGAAATACATGTTTCATTACTTTTCTTGAAAAAAAAAGAAAGTAAGTTTCAGAAATAAAATTATTTTCTCACAAATAAAATCATCCATAAAGACCTTAATGTTCCATATGTTTCCGATCTGGCCCAATCCAGATAGCTTTCCTTCCATAACAAACTGCAGAACCATCCAAATCCTCTCGTTTCAAACCTTGCTTCCTCCTCGATCCCTGATAACCCTCCGAAGCGTCTGAAAAGAAGATGGCCTCGGGATCTTCTAATATAGAACTTTAATTTGAGTTCTACTAATGGGTAGTTTCTCTTCATGTTGTACATGCCATGTTACCAATTTCTCATTTACTTATTGTATTCTCTATGTAATACAGTTGTAAATTCCATTAAAATAATAAAAAAAAATTATTTTCACATCACTTTTTTTAAATATTTAGGTCCGTTTTTGAAGAAAACGAAAAAGAAAAATAATTCCATCGTCCGACTCATTGAGGGTTATTATTTGAGAATCGATACTTACTTCGGTTTCTAAGAAAAATCTATTAGGATTCATTTTACAAATAAACGACTCAATTCATAGTTTGAAATAGAATATATATATATATATATATATGATTCAGTGCAAACGCACACATATAGACATACATCTTTATATACATATACTTTTTTATCTCAGTCGAAAATACCTCTCCGAAACGTTTTAGACGTGATAAATAATGTTTAGTGCAGTTGTAGCATATGTGTTTCCCACTCAAAGATAGTGAGTGGTACGATAAAACGTCGTAATTCTGAAAAACTAAATAGCTCTTTTAATAACAACAACCAAAATAGTGGAATATGTTGGATTTTTAATAAAAATATTACTTCAAAGGAGTCTTTGTGAAATACGAAGTACAACCAATTTAATAGAAAATTTTCTCGTATTATAGTCGATGTTATAATTAACATGATTTCATGGAGACATTCCAATAAACTTTCTATTAAAGGTTCGCTCTGTTTAACTTTCAGTTAACTATTAACTTGACAGTCTGAAACAAAACATAAAATCAAAGAGAAAAGTTTCGTACAGAAGAAGAACTAAGTCTGAAAATGGAGTACTAAAATTATCGTAGCATAAATAATTGCAGAGGGGCTTATTCTAGGAAAAGCTTGCAGACACAAGTAACTTGAGTTTTGTTAACAGAAAAGGCTGTGATTTCTCTCTAGCTAATAATAATATAAAATCTTGCCTTCTCAAAAAAATATTACAATAAATTATAACAATCCATATATACATATTCTTTTTTGTAACTTGCAATGTATTGTAGTAAATTAATTTTAAAAAATACCACTCTTCATAATCATCTGAACGATATTGCAGATTGGGCCTCAAGGTGGAAAATTAAGATGAATGAAAAAAAAAGTGTGCATGTGGTATTCACTCTTAACTATAAACCTTCACCTGAAATATATTTTAATAACATTAAAATTCCAACATCAAACGTAATTAGTTATTTAGGTTTATACATGGACAAAAGACTTACTTGGAGGACTCACATCAGACAAAAACAAATAGAATTAAACAGACGATACGGTATTTTATCCAGATTACTTGACAGACGTTCAATATTATCTTTAACTAACAAACTAATCCTTTATAAAGTTTTAATTAAACCTATTTGGACTTACGGCATAGAACTGTGGGGTTCTGCTAAAACTTCTAACATTAAAAAAGTTCAGTCCTTTCAGTCAAAAGTGTTGCGAAGAATAGTTGACGCACCGTTTTATGACAATTTTTGTTAGGTAATAAAAAATACCCATTTTATTTATAATCTGATTAAAAATGATACCTTTTAAAAATGAATATTTACAAATTAATGTTAAAAATTAATTAATCGAACCCACATGTCAAAATGAAACGGATGACCCTCAATAAACGACTCAAACTACTTCACACACTTTTTTTTTTCAAATCTTCAAAACTATAACTGGGACAGAAACTAAATGCATCCCTATACTTAATTAAACCTTGGACTTACTCCTCACAAATATACGGTATAGCTAAAAAGACCCACTTACACAAACTTCAAACTTTCCAATAAAAAATACCATACTTATTATTAAATAAATTAAATTAAATTATTATAAATATTATAAATATTATACTTATAACTAAAGCATCTTGGTACGTGACAAAAAAAACCTAACATACCGACTTCCTCCTGCCTCCAGTTGGCCAACCCATAAGAATTCTTTACAAACAATTTCACAATAATTGACATAGACATACCAGCATATTAATCAGTGATATCGCTTCAGCTGACATGCCCATCAATACGAAGAGGAGATTAAAATGACCTCCTTTATTAACAAACCATGGTAATTGATTTAAGCCAGGGAAGAATCACCTTTACCCTTCGCCGTAAACCTATGACCTCTTGCCCTACAGTATCCTTTAATTATACCCTGCTTGTCCCTGTTGAAAGAATTCGTTACCTTGGACTCCACGCGGACAAACGTCTAACTTGGAATGCTCATACTAGACTTAAACGACAAGAAATCGCTCGACGTTTCCGAATACTCCAGCACTTACTAGACAAACGCTCTAAGGTTTCAGTTAATTACAAAAGACTTATATACATGACTACAACAAGACCTATCTTGATATACGGAGTTGAGATTTGGAGGTCCACAAAGCCATCGAATTCCTCACGCATCCAATCCGTACACAATCCGAAATCCTTCGTAAAATCCTCAATGCTCCTTACTTTGTCATTAATGAAATCATCCATAAACACCTAAATGTCCCTTATGTTTCGGAATTGGCCCAATCCAGATACCTACCCCTCCATAATAAACAGAACCATCCGATCCCTCTCGTTTCTAACCTTGCATCCTATTCAATCCTTGATAACCCTCCGAAACTTCTGAAAAGAAGATGGCCTCGGGAGCTGATATTGTAAAAACATTTTTTTTTAAAGTGCTATCAGTGGGTAGTTTCTCAACAAGTGTTTTCATGTTTTTATTTTCTGTTAAAACATTTACTTAATGTGTTCTTTCTTAATAAAGTTGTAAATATCATAAATATAAAAGAAAAAAATACCAGAGAAGAGGTACTGTAGATGCTATCCTTCCTCATGCCTGACATGTCAATTCCGTTACTTTTATCAGAACATTCTGGTGATTGTCAACAGTCGTCGAGAGGTGCAGATTGAAAGCTGAAAAAAATAAAAAAGAGATCGATCGTTATTGTTTAGGTGGTCACCAATCTTTTTATTCTTAATGTAATATTTACGTTGTTGTAAAAATGACTAGTTTTATTGAAATTATTTATTTTTAATATATAAAAATTACTTTGGTCATTTAATTACATAGAATTCCACTTAAAATATAAATTGTAATGATTTATGGTAATTATTTATGCTGGGAACATTGATTCAGGAAACAGAGTTTTACATCACAAATATTGTAGTAATATTTTTGTCTTCTATCTCTAAAATTTATCGTTATTTTTCCAACTTAAGGAATAAAATAATGAAATCTTGGTGATTCCAAGTTTGCAAACGATAATTAAGTAACCTTTTATAAAAACCTACTATTAGTAAATGGCATATTAAGGAAATAATCAAAAGTATTTAACACGTAATAAGAGATGTAATCATGCAGATAAAGGAGAATATTTAACTGAATGAATATGATACTTAAAAGTGACACATTTATAAATAAATATTTAATTTAAGTGATAAATCAAATTCCAGTTTTTTATGTACGAATAAGTTTTCTGTGTTTTTCTGAATCGTTATCAATCTGTGTTTTGCTATGACCTCTAGCAAGATTGTAAACTAATTTTGATTTTGTTTATTGCTGAACTGGGTAAAAAGCATTTTAACTTTTATTTTAAAATACCGTATTTAAAATATAACATATTATTATAAAGTATACATGTCTCATGTAATGTACCAAGTGTACAACTGATTCCTTAAAAAAAAGGTTGATTTTTAAGATGAAAGCAGGTATGAGATTATAAGGCAATGTGTTCCTTAAAAAAAAACAATTTATATTTGTGACGTTTTGTCAATTTTTTTTTCATTTTTATTATTTTCTTTTTTATTACCTTATTAAATTGATTTTTTTTTTTCCCTAAAAGTACATTAAAATATTATTATTCAAGAAAAACGAGGCATTTTTTTCCCCTAAAATAAACATCTGTTAGTCCACCATTACTTGTTTATTTAACATACTATGTTCTTTCACTTTTTCTTGTGATAAGACCCTGAGATACTGCACAATTATTTTAAGTCTAATCAAATTTATGGCCAAAGATGATTTTATCACAATCGACATTAAGAATTTTGAAGATCAAAATTCTGTCATTCCTAAATTCACGACAGAGAATTCTTATGCTGTCTCTTGACAATATTTCGATGCACATCAACTCAGTTCGGTAATTTATTTTGTGTATTTAAAATATAAAATTAAATACACAGTTCGTATTTTAGTATATTGGAAATAAAATAAAAATTTATTTTTTATATTATGTATTTTAGAGAGTGAATACAGTTACTAACAATGTATTGTATATTTTACTTCATAGAATGCATAATAAAAATATAATTATTTCCTGTTTTAAAATACTTAATTTCGAATAATTTCCAAGCCCGGTTTATTGTTTTTATATTTAAAAAAGGAATAAGTTCAATTATTACATTTTTTTAAGAGTGATTAAAAAATGTTAATACTTTCTTCAGTACTAATATATTGAATATACAATTCAATATATATATATATATATATATATATATATATATATATATATATATATATGTACAAATACATTTTTTTTCTTTTTGCGAACTCGTAATTATTTCATCAAACTTTCCTCCATTAGGCAGCAACCTAATGCTGTGTACACGCGTTAGTCCGCTTGACCCACCCCGCCCCTAATTAAAAATTAATTATAATTATAAAAGACTTCACGAATGATAGGGTGCTGGTGAAAACAAGTATTTGTTTACAAATTAAAATAACTTTTTTTTATTAAAACCATTTCACCCCCGCACCTTAATATAAGACCTAATAATGTCCTCCATTCCTAATAAGACCTAGCAAGGTTTGTCTATTTATATTATTAATTTCCTCTACTCAATAGGAGAGCCTGGTGAGAAGTCAAGGATACCCCTTCGAACAACACTCTGTGGTCACAGAAGATGGTTACATCCTCACCCTCCATCGTATACCATATGGAAAGAACCACACAGGGATGATAGGCCGCCCGATCCTTCTCCAGCACGGAATCCTCTGCAGTTCTGCGGGATGGCTTCTGTCCAGACCAGACAAGGCGTTGGGTGAGTTTCTAAGCTCTAGCTGATGAATGTGGAGTGAGAAATGATGCTTCAATTTATTATACCAGACTGAGATGACAAGGAACCGCTCGACGTTTCCGACTTCAGCACTACAAACGCTCTAAACTTCCTATTAATTACAAAAGACTCATATACATGACTATAATAAGGTCTTTTTGGACTTACGGAGTTGAGCTTGGGGCTCCACTAAACCATCTAATTCCTCTCGTATCCAATCCTTACAATCCAAAATCGTAGAATCCTCAATGCTCCTTACTTTGTTACATATAAAACCATTCATAATGATCTTAATGTTTTTTATATTTCAGAACCAATCCAGATACCTATCCTTCCACAATAAACTTCAGTATCATCCCAATCCTCTCGTTTCTAACCTTGCCCCGTGATCTCCTAATATAGACATATCATTAGAGTGCTACCATTGGGTCCATTCACGTCATTATATCCATATGTTCAAATTTACTAAATATATTTCTTTAATACAGTTGTAAATATCATTAAAAAAAATAAATTAATTTATTATTTAGGGTTCATTCTCGCTGACCAGGGCTATGATGTATGGATGCCAAACAGCAGAGGGAACACATATAGCAGAATGCACAAGAGTTTGAATATCCACAGTGCAGAATATTGGGATTTCAGGTAGGCAGTGCTAAATATTTTCTATTTAATGTTGTTAAAAAAAAAAAAAAAACTTCATTTGAATCATTCATTGATAAATATGTAAAAAAAAAAATTAAATACTACAATTTGATACATGATCTATAAAGCATACAAATGATAGAACACCGAGTGTGGACCTGATCCTTGAAGATAATTTGGAAGCAATTTATATTATTAAATAGATGATAAACTTCGTGACTAACATGATAGTCTTACATTACAGCCAATCATTCCTAATTCCGAAACCAGAAAATAATCAGCTAATAAGCTTAACAGATTTTTTTATAAAAAGAAATTAATTTCTTTGCATTAATTAAATTTTAAGTTTCCACTTTGCTAATGTTAGTTATCTATTTGGCTAAAAGCAAATATAAAAATAATTTATATTTTTGGCTGCTTGAGTTCAATACAGAACTTTGCCATTCACAAATGAGGGAAAAGCTCTTTTCGAAGTTGCACATGCTGAGAGGTAATAATTTAAATTCTGACCTCCTTTATTTTGCTTATTTATCATTCATCATCTCTGGATGAATGATAAATAAGCAAAATAATTCGATTTAGTTCTTTTATCCACAATCAGTAAATTCAGCAATTTCAAAATTTCTTTAAATTAAGAAAGAAGTTTAAAATTGGTTTTGTGAATATTGAATTTCTCAACCGAATTAAAACAAGAAATTATTGTTTCCTTTCTTATTATCTGCAATGACATCCTAATCTGAAGTTTCCCAATTCGAATCCGACTGATGACAGGTAATTATTTATTCTGTTTCTTCATCCGTGGATCGACCTTAGGGCCAGAAAACCCTCCTGGGGTATACGTAATATAAATTGGGCAATCTTAATTAAATAATTAGTTAAGAAAAAAACCTGGCGGTTGAGAGTGCTCTCGGCTCAATTACCTCCCTGCACAACCCTTGATCATCAAATTGTTCTTCCTTGAAATGTGCAGAAATCAAGATCCTTCGTAGGTTTTAGTGCTACAGTTTTTTTTATTATTATTTATTCACTATGAATTTTTTCTTAGGAGGAGGTTCCTGTTTTTTATTTAACAGAACATCTAAATATTTATGTATAAGTGATTATACTTTCAAAAATATGTAGTAAGAGAACTTTGTAAAAATAAGAATCCTGTATGTGGATATTAATTTAAGAAAAATTACAATAATTACTTAAAAGTGAAATTCAATCAATAAATAATTTAAAAAACTGGTTTCCTTAAATTTTGAGCATATGAATGTATTTATTTTTCGAAATGATCCTAGCTTCCATGAGATGGGTTATTACGACCTACCGGCTTGCATAGACTACATCCTGCGGCAAACTGGATATCCAAAACTGGAGTACATCGGTCATTCTCAGGGCACATCCATCTTCTTCATCCTCGCCTCTACCAGGCCGGAGTACAACGAGAAGATCAGTTACATGTCCGCCCTCGCACCGATAGCTTACTTGGACCAAGTTAGGGGTACCTTGAAAGCTCTGATTTTTGTTTCGACTCAGTTGGAGGTAACACTCACTTAGAAAGCTGAATACATTTATATGTTAATGAACAAGCTAACATAAATATAAATTTATTATTTATTTTCAGTGGTTCTCCAAACACTTAGGTCTACACGCAATCCTGTCTGACTCATGGGCTGTTCGGATGATGGAGAAAGTTCTGTGTGAAACGTTTTCATTTGCCGAGGCATTCTGTGACAATTTAGTGTTCCTTATTGTCGGGTATGACTCACAACAATGGAATATGGTGGGTAAAAACTATAAACAAATACTGCTTGATGTATTTTTTTTATATTATTTTTTTTAGTATTTTAATTTAATATATTATTTAAATATATTCTTTATGGTTTTCCAGACATTATTGCCGACAATCGACAATTACATGCCAGCAGGAACATCTATCAAACAGCTCGTTCATTTTGCTCAAATAGCTAAAAGTAATAATATACCTACTTAACATATAATGTTATCTTATATAGTTATTAGTGAAGTTTCATTAAATCGTGGAGTATTTTCTTGTGCATTTTAAATTTAATATAGGAAATCAGAGAAATATCTCTAGTTCTGATCCAATGATGGTTCTAGGTACACAATTCAGGCAATATGATTACGGTTACTTAAAAAATTTGGAAGTTTATCACCAAAGGGACCCTCCTGATTACGATCTATCAAAAATTTCAACTCCGGTAACACTCCACTACGGAAACAACGACTGGTTGACTGGAATTAATGTAAGTCGATTAAAATTTATATTGATATATTTAAATAAAAATATCCCATTAATTTATTTTCTATTAACACAGGACATAGCTAAGCTGAACGCAAGCATCCCGAAGACCAACACAAGACTGGTTCCGTTCAGTTACTTCAACCACTTGGACTTTATGTGGGCTAAGGATGTCGACAAGCTTTTGTATGACGATTTGTTAATAAATTTGAATAGCCATTAAATTATGATATCACTGAAGGTTAATGATTTGTCAAGACTGGTTAAATATATATTTTTATTTTTTATAGTTGGTTTTAGATTTGTCTAGTTTACCTAATTTTAATAATAATTTGAAATGAAAAGTAATACAAAAGATCAGAACAGTCAAGTGAATTGAAGGCGCCCGTTACATTTTTAATAAACATATTACTAGCTCCCTCTGAATGGCATGATGCGTTTGCCAAAATACAAGAAGACCTAAATCGGATTTGTGCCTGGGCAAGTGAGAATGGATTAAGGTTAAACGCTGCTAAAACCCAAGCCATCGTCATCGGTTCGAAACCCCTTCTCAGATCCAATACCAACATTCCTCTCCTGTGCCTGAATGACCAACCCATCACCTTCAACACATCAGCTAAAAACTTAGGTGTTATCATAGATCAAACCTTCTCCTGGAATAACCATATTTCCCTCATATCACGACGTTCAATTTCCATCCTGAAACTCTTCCATCGCTTCCGCCATCTCCTACCCATATCCACACGTAGACTCCTAGTATCCGCCCTCATCTTCCCCCACATTGACTACGGCTGCGTAGTGTACGGTGGCCTCTCATCGGAACTTGGAGACAGACTGAAAAGAATAATGAATGGCTTAGTACGATTTGTCAATGGGACCCCGAAACGTTCTCATGTTTTCCACAACTACGCCGAGTTAGGGTGGCTCTTTCCCTCCTTCAGAAGACAGTACTTCCTAGGTACATTTCTTTACCAAATAATCTATAATCATCATCCATCCTACGCATTCAATCTCCTTCAATTCAAGTCATCTATCCACTCCCTCTCCACAAGATTTCGTCCTTCCGACCTTTATACCCCTTTCCACAAATCTGCCTCCTTTCAACACTCCTTTATTGTCCGCTCCACTACCTTTTGGAATTCCATCCCACTTAAAATCCGCCATGCACCATCCCTATCCATATTTAAAACCCTCCTATTCCAATTCCTCCTTACAATTCAATCAGAAGCTGAATAGCCATTTATCACGTAACAAAATTGCATTTTTCTCTATTTATCATTAGTATATAAATATACATTCTTTTTTGAGCATGGAAGAGATGTCTAGTCACGTTCTGTAATGTAAATACTTCTGCTATCACTTAGTTTTTGTTATTTTTTTATTGTAATATGTATTTTGGCCAGATGGAATGTTAATTTTTATGTACAAAATTGTTATTCTTAAGGGACTTTGTCCCAGCATAAAGTTGATTCTTCTTCTTCTTCTACTATGCGAATATACTTATTATATATAAATACATTTGCACTTCCACCGATAACGGATATCATCTTTTATATATAAAAATATAACGCTGTAATACACCATTCTTCTTTTAACTGACAGGGTTTTCAAAAAGAATGGTATATTCAGACCCTAAAAATGTCCACATATATCCGAATGGAGATTGTTGAGATAAAATACTTTGAATCTCATCGAAAAGAGATTATTTAAACAATGATACGCAACATTGTTATTCTGACATTTTTCGGAAAAGGTAGACTCAGCCTGGTACGTCGTCTAACATAGTATGTATATTTTTCTTTATCTGGACGAATAAAGTTTCAAAATTAATTTTAAAAAATTCGAATTCACAATTAATTGAGGGATATCGAATGTGTCCACTACAGACAAACGAGAACAGTTCGTTGATTTATTGCATAATATCACTGCTCAAGTATATTTTCGGTGGATCTAAACTTTGAAGTAATATTTTGTGAACCATGTTAATCAATTAAAAAAATACAGTAATAGAGTGCAAATGACTCATATTTCTTTATATATCGGATTTAATTACGAAATGTGGACGAAGTCCTGGTTGTACAAAGAGGAATTTAGACTCAATTGCAAAAGGACTCTACCGGAAGCTGTGAACCAAATTTTCATAACAGAGAGCAAATTTTTTTAAACTTCATTTTTTCACCCACAACTGTCATAAGCAATGAAAATTAGTGGGCCTGCTGTCGGTAAGAATATAGGTAGTGACTTGATCAGCGTGATGGAGAGGTGTGCCCAGTGGCATCCCTTTCTGTCTTGAATTTAGTATCTTTTAAGCGAGGAAATCCCTCATCCAGCTCCTTTTGAGCTTCCTAAGTATGTTTTCGGGCATGTTAAATGTAGCCATACTTTGTATTAGTGTGTTAGTATGCCCATGTAAGTTATTGTGAAATCGTTTGTAGTGTGTCCGTATGCAGACGTTTACTGTTGGCATTTGACAACACATTACACAGTTTGGATAAAGTAATGTTTGTGACGTATCATGGACCTTTAGTTATGGTCCTGAAAGTTTTTGACTGAAAAAGTTGTAGTTTTTGCATGTGGATTGTTTTGGCTGTCCCGTATTTTTGTGAAGTCTAGGTCCATATGAGCTTAAGTAGGTAATTGCAAATGATCAGTTTTTGTTTTAGGTGTAATTTTGAGCGTCTTGAGCGAAGTGAATATAACAATCGTAGGTTTAATGTTTTTCTTTTTTAGTTGATATGTGGCCCCCATGTCATTCTTCTGTCGAATGTCAGTCCAAGATATTGCATTTTATCTGTTTGAGGAATTTCGGCATTGCCAAGGTAAATAGGAGGCCATGTTTCATGTAGAAGTGTGAAAGTGATGTGTTGTGATTTGTCTTGGTAGAGTCAAATTTTCAAAAGTTTGCACTAGTCGTTTAGTTTTGTTAGATAATGTTGTAAAGTCTGTGAGGTGTATGTTCGATTTTTATATCTTATTAGAATTGCTGTATCGTCTGCGTAAATCACGATAATAGTATTGGCGCTGTTATGGATGTCGTGTGTGAATATCACATATTAAATTGGAGCGAGTACTGACCCCTGAGAAACTCCTGCTATGGCTGGTCTTATTTAAGAAAGTTCTGAGTCTTGGCAGGCAGAGAAAAATTTGTAAGAAAGAAAGGATTGAAGGATAAGACAGAAGGTAGGAGGGAGTATCGTCTTAAGTTTTAAGAGAAGTCCCTTATGCCATCCTATCGTCCCTAATCACTATCGAATGCTTGAGCGATATCCAGTAATTCTCCAGTGGCATACAATTTTTGCTCCAGTACCATGGCAATGTAGTCAGTCACCTTGTGTAATGGATGGATGGTTAAATGTTGTTTTCGGAATCCAAATGTATTTGTCCTTGTTTGGTTTATGAATCATTGCAACCTAAGAGTATTTCCATTTTATAGGAAATTTGGTCGTTCTGAGTATTGCATTGTAAATAGACTTTAAGTAATCTAGAGCTTTTATAGGCATTTTATGGAACACTTGAGCAGTTATCAGGTCATGGCCAGGAACTTTTATTTTTAGGTCTAATTTGTTCTGGAACGAGTTTCGGAGTGAAGCAAGGTGGAGGTAATTCCAACTGTAGAGGAATGTCTAAAGTGTTTCGTACTTGTTTTTCGTTTTCAATGTTCGTGAAGTCAGTATGTGGAGTAAAATCAGAAGAAAGATGCCTAGCAAATTATTCTATTACTCACACGGCCCAGGAACCATCTTCTTTTCGGAGAGGTGCAGACACGAATTATTTGCTGTGAATTAAAAAAAAACTTGTATCACTAACAACCCATGAAGGGTCTTGGGTTCGGTACAATGTGAGGAACTACTGTTACAAGGACAACGGCTGAGCAGTGAGGTGACGGGGCAATATCACGCTCAACCGCCATGTTTCTTCCCGTAGTTAATTATTTAATTAAGAGTACCGACTTTATAGAGGCTTGGTTAGCCCTAGGAAGGTCTTCCGGACCCATGTTCAATCCACGGCTGATGAAACATTACCAGTCATCAGCCGGATTCGTACATGAGACCTTAAGCTCTGGAAGTCAGTCACCCACTGAGCTACCCCGCTGCTTTATAGCTGTGAATAGTCAGAATTATTATCATCATAGCTACGTCTAAAACTTTATTTTATATTACAGCATATTAAAATTTATTCAGTTTCAATTTTATTTTATTTTCCTCGATTTCTTGACCCACATCATAAGTAATGACCATCACCGGGAGTGCTCAGCGGCATTATTTCCTATCTTGATTTTAGTATTTATAGTTAATGGAGGAAATTCCTCATCCCTCTTCCTTTGAGTCTCCTATACGTGTTTTCAGGTATTTTAAATGTAGCTAATAAATTAGTTGGTTTGTCAGTGTAAATTATTGTTCGATTATTTTGTGTATTTGAATTATTCTATATTTTATTTATTTTGACTTTGAATGGCTATAAGCTAAAGAGATACCTACATAGGCTGACTCCAAGAACGTATCGAACAAACCTGTTCCTAGTAGTGTGGATCGAATCCATTGTTGCGGTGATGTACCTACAAAGACACGAGACATTCAATTGCGTCAGATTCTCAACAAAGATCCGTAACAACGTTCCGATACGTACAAAGCATAAGAGACTCGCTGAGGCTTAGAGGTGAGAGAGGGATTCAAGTCCGATTCGCAGAATTTAACAGTCGATGGAAACATCGTGCTTTCTATGTCAAAACATATTACTGAAACAATTATTCCATTACGTCACCTAAAGGCTCGTGCACACAAAACGCAATATGTCCCGGACGTTAATTGTCCATTTTGTCTATATCGCTGTATATTATCGCACTATGTCTGACTACGATAAAGGAATAGATGATATTATAATATAAAAGACGAAATAAATGATAACATAATTATATCTCTAAATCGTCGCAGACACCGACAGCATGTTTTATGGTGTTCACGGACACACGTAATAAACCAAAACAGATTCTGGACGTCAAAGCGTTTACGAACACGATTAGGCAATCGAAAACAATTGTTGGTGTGCTCTGGTACTCACGTGGGACCACTTTGTTTTCGAAACGGGGTAAACCATAGTAATGCAATTCAATATATAGCAAATATAATTAATGACCGTGATATATTCTGATATTCACAGATGAAAATCGTAAATTTTCTAACGTACGAGGGCGGAGATAAAATAACAATTTTTAATACGGAACTGCGACGAAGGACTGGAGAAGTAGTTTAACAAAATCCAGGTGTTCCAGAATAATATGTGAAATACGAATGGCCGCCTAAAGCGTTCTCTTCTGCTCCCAAAGCGTCCAATATCGACATTGACAGATATCCCTCAAAAGGATGGGGGTCTGTTTGAAACTTGAGGTTTTCATCAAATGGCGCTAAGGAGTAGTTCTACTTAGTTATTCATTTTTCTCTCAGGGTCATTTATCAAGCACCATTTATCCTAGAAGAGATTTCTGATACGCCACCTGTACGCCGAAGTAAATTATCAACATCATTAAGAGAAGTCCAATGGATCGATAGTATCTTATAGAGATTAGCTAGCAAACAAAAAAAAAAAAAAAAAAAGAAGAAAATGAAAAATGACCAAGTTAGTCGGAAGTTCATTTTGTGATTGGTGGTAAGGAATCAATAAGACTATATATCCCAACTAATCTAACTTTGAAAAATATGGAGTTCAAAAATAGCAATATTAAAACTGTGGAGTATACCGATAATTATAATTTAACTATTAACAAGATATATGGATTATAGTGGATAGCGGATCTTTTCGAATTGAATTCTTCTTGATTGAACTGGACACAATAGGTCTAACTTAAACTTTTGTACGCCCGTCAAATTTTTAAATTTAATTTATTAGAGATTGGGTCATAATTCCAGACATCCATTTTTTAAATTCTGAACAGTCCATTTTATGTATTTTATTCAACGAATTTATACCATGTGTTACATTGATTAGTTTTC